AATAAATAATAATTAGTGGGTGGAAATTCCACATAACCCATCCTCCTCCTCAGGAAAAGGAAGATTTCCCCTCTGTTAATAAAAAAAAATGGTTAGCTTAATTCCTGTAATAATGGGCCATGCATGGACCGTATATACGAGAATAAATCTCGCGGTAATTCATTCGCACCGTCAACGACGGATTATCAAGAGGACGAAGAAACGCGTGATACAAATGCTAATTAACGACCACGTGATAATCGCATTCACGTTACTCTTCCTTCCACTCATTTGCGCAACCGACCGAAATAAGAAGTAAATGCTAGCACATTGGAATATTCTGAAGAGGATCACAAGATTTTCCTGAATAGCCAGGAAGTCTGTGTGGTTTTTGATACTATTCTTGCGTTCCCGATAGTGGAGGACTATTTTGCGCAGCTTGGAAGGTCGTGGGGTCGCAGGTAATGCATTGAGATGCGCAGAACGATGAAAAACTGAACTGTGCCAGGTCCTAGACCTAGTATACGTCAGGACTTACTAAAAACTACCTTCAGAGCCAACCTAATGACATAGGAATATTGAAGTCCTGAAGGGACATTTTCGAATCGAGGTGGAAAACCACTATGTCGATTGAAACAAGATGTCAGTACCCATAAATTCCGATTAAACAGCAGTTTCCTAAACGAATAAGCGACAGGAGAACTGAATATACTAAAAATATGAAGAATCCACATACGACTAACACGCTTCGATTTACTGCTGATGGACAAAAACGTTCAGAACGTGGGATAGCGGTGTTCAGCAAGCGTTGCAAAAATGTGCAGACTCGAAACTCGCCTGCCTAGGCGTATTTGATACGAGCTGCTGCATAACGTAAACCGAAGCTTGAAGAAACTCGTCGGGAACGCGTGTTCTAATGGACGCGTAAATCCGCCCACCGTCCCGTATAAACAATCGCAGGAATGCCCGCCGCCAAGGCGTCCCTTATTCGATTGTCTTCCCCGTGTTTTAAAGAAACCTTTTATTGTTCAATGGCCTAGACGATTTGCGTTCAGAATTGCTTCCCGTCTGGCTTACAACTTTTTGTGAAATATCAGTTCTCATCATTGAACCTAACCGAACCTAATCCTGTTTTATTTTTTTAATAACCATCCACTTAACGTCAGGAGGCCTGACCTAGCCTAATCGTTTTTTGTTTTTTTAATAACCCTCCACTTAGCTAGAGGTCATGACCTGAAC